GAGGGGGCTGGAGAGATGGGATGGGAGGGGAATGGAACGTAGAGTGGGGCAGGGCATGGGGCACGGAGCGAGGCACAGAGCGGGGCACGGAGTGAAGCGTACAAGTGGTGATGGAATGGGGCATGGAGACTGGCAGGGAGCAGGGTATGGAGTGGGGCATGGAATGGAGCATAGAGCAGGCCTGGAGTGAGGCATGGAATAGGGCACGGAGTGGGGCACTGAGTGGGGTATGGAACGGGACATGGAGTGGCACATGGAAGGGGACATGGAGCAGGGCATGGTGTGGGTCACAGAGCAGGACACAGAACAGGGCACAGAGCAGGGTGCAGCCAAGGTAAAGCCTTGTGCAAYGCAGGGCATGGAGGACACAGCTGGGAGCACCTTGGCATGGAGCACAGCACTGCCCTGGGAGCAGCCAGGGCACAGCYCAGTGTGTGGAATCATCAGATCCCAGAATCACAGACCGGTTTGGGCTGGAAAGCACCTCAGACCCGCTCTGGTCCCACCCCTGCTACGGCAGGGGCACCTTCCACTATCCCAGGGTGCTCCAAGCCCCATCCAGCCTGGCCTTGGGCACTGCCAGGGATGGGGCAGCCACAGCTTCTCTGGGCACCCTGTGCCAGAATCCCTCCCTCCCCTGCTGCCCATGCTGTGGGATCAGCCCACGGCTGGGGCACAYCCAGCCTCTCATCCGCCAGCATCTCCAAGTTCTTCCCAGCACCAGTGTTCTCCCTCCTCCGCCAGGATGGGTGCTGAGGATGCAGCACCCTGCACTCAGCTTTGCTGAACCTCATCAGGTTCCCATGGCACATCCAGCACCCCCAGCCCTGCCTGGGCTGCGGCACAGCCCCAGGATCCCACTCCCTGTGTTTCATCACTTGCTGCAACTCCAGRAAGTAAACCAGAACTGCTTTTATTTCATTTGGGCATGGCAGAAGTGCTCAACCCAGCGCTGGTTGGGAAATGAAATGAATTCATTTATCATTGTATTATAAATCAATATAAAGATCAGCAAATGGCAGTACCCTGGAGGCACAAAAMCCTCCAGAAGTCCTCAAAAATTCCTTGTTCACTTCACAAACAGAATATAAGTAAGGAAAACAAGCTGGGGAGAAATGAGCAAAGGACACACTGAGTGTGATAACCATCCTGTTCCAGCAATACACCTAATCTGGATTGGCTCACTAATTACTTCTGGAGCTGATGGACTTTTCCTTTTTGATTTCACTTCTCTTTGGAGCTGAAGGATCCAGGACTTTCCTAAGCAATGTTTTYGTGATTTTGCATTATTCAGGAGTGGTTTCTGTACCAAGCCCAAACTCRAGCCATGCTTCAACTCTGTCTGTTAACTCCACCCTTGCCTACAGGGATGTCTGGACGCTTTTTTTCACTAATAACAGGGAATTTATATGATTTGCTTTTGCTGTTTCTTCGGGGCAAGGTGGAGCCAGAGTCTGTGAATCAACACTGAATCAGAAGACRAGCCAGAGGAACGGGCACCTTAACAGTATAAACACATTTCCCATCACATTGTTCCCAAAAAGTTGCTTACAGGCTGAGGAAATTGGGGAAAACCATTGTCCCCTGTGCCTGAGGGCAAAGGCTGGTGGTGGCAACACCCTTCAGACCTTCTTCAGGTCCTCAGGGCCAAAGGAGAGTGGCAGCAGGTCCTCCAGCCTCTTGACAATGTAGGTGCCATCTGCTTTGGTCAGGTAGACATCCCAGTCTGTGCCAAACTGGAGAAGAGGAGGAGGAAGAAGAGCTTGATGAGAGAGAAGAACGAAAAGGGAGTAGAACCTGCATTTCTTCCCCAAATTACTCACATAATCCTTTTTTTCAGGTTCACAGGGAGCATCCCCCTCTATTGTATGTATTTTGGGTTGGCTTGTCAGCATCACCTCCCCCAGAGAATATTTTGGGCTCAGATCTTGTGGTTTTAGCCCACCAGGGTGAGCCCAGATGCCCCAGAACCTGCTGAACCTCCAGCTGAGCCTCATGACCATTAAAWATTAACGACCAAAAACGGGCTGTGGATGCCAGGATTCCTCTGGGAGGAGGGAGACCAGAGTGGGACAGGATCTGTGGGAAGCTCAGCTTTTGCAGAAAAACCCACATTTTCAGGGCCAGAGCCAGAGCAACAACTCGAGGGCCAAACCCTGCACCTGGAGGAACAAACCCCCCTGAGGAGGGTGAGCTAAGGGATTCCCACTGAACACCCATCCAGGGTGGCACTGCCTCCTGCCCAGCACATAATGCAATTTGAGGAGCCTGGAGCCAACTGTGGGGCTGAGGATGGGGTTGCACCCTCCTTGGTACCTCCAGGTGTTTTAAGGGGAGATGCCTGGGGTCAGGGGATGGAGTCTGGGGTCAGGGAATGAGCCACRGAGCCCCACACGAGCTGTCACCTCTCTCATCACTTGTCTGCAGGCGCCGCAGGGCGTGATGAAGTGGTCCCCCATGTCACTGCCAAAGGAGAAGGGCACAGAGCTCAGTCCTGAGGTCAGAGGAGGGGGCAACACCTGCAGAAGATCCTTCACGCCCCAATAAATACAGAGCCACAACAGATTTGCCCTCCAATTCCTCCAAAAATGACGTACAAAAACTTTCTTTCCCTCCCCAAAAGCTGGGGCTGCTGCAGCAGGAACTGCCCCGGAGGAGCACCGGGGGTTCTCCTGCTGGTCCCCATCCCGTCCCTCACCGTTCCAGCTCTTGGAGCACCCTCACCTGGCGATGGCCATGGCCTTGAAGCTGGTGTGCCCCTCGGAGATGGCTTTCTGGATGGCAGTGCGCTCGGCGCACACCCCCAGGCTGTGGCAGGCGTTCTCCACGTTGCACCCTGCAGGGAAGACCCCGGCATCAACCACCCCAAACCCCACCAGCTCATTTTTTTCTTAGGGAACTGACAAAGAAAAGCCATTTCCCCTGCTTCCCCTATTTATTTTCCCATCCGCTGTGATCTTTGGCTCGCTCCGGGATGGCGGCTGCCAAGAGGCAGCGGGGGAGGACACGCAACACCAGCACCCCGGGATGACCCGACCCTGCTGCATCCTCGTACATTACCCAAGCCTTGCTGGGGGCTCTCCAAAATCCCCGGGGAGGAGGGGGTTCAGGTCCCCATCTTACCGGAGAAGATCTCCCCGCCCGCGGTGAGCAGCGCGGCTCCCACCGGGAAGCGGCTGTAGGGGCAATAGGCRCAGTTTTTGGCCTCCCGGCTGCGGCGCAGCAGGAGCTGGAGATGGTCACCCTGGGGCTGGCCCCGAGGGACAGCAGGGACCGGCCGCTGCCCGCCTTCCTCCATTCCTGCGCCCGTCTGCCCTGCCCGCTGACGCCGCGGTTAAATATTTCCTCGCCTGGAAAATAGGCTGGCCGGGACGCCGGGATAACGCCCCGGAACGCAGGCGAACCCCGGGGAGCATCCCCTGGGGCAGCCCTGGCCCCCAAAGCATCGCGCCCGGAGATTCCCTCGTCCTCTCCCCGCCTGCTCTCTCACTTCTTCCAATTTCTCCTAGTTTTGTTATTTACTTCCTCCTTCCTCTGTCCCGGCAGAGAAGTTTTCCACCGCTGTCCCAGAGGTTTTTTCCTCCTCAGTTTAGAACTGGTTGTGTGGCTCCAGAGGAAAATGTCATTAAATCATTCCGGGGGGGGGGAGGAACAACAGCTCCTGATCAGTGAGATCAAAAGAAAGAAATTAATTTGATTGAAAGCAGAAAAAATAATATCTGCATGTATCCCATTTTCCCAGGTTTTCTAACCACAGGCAGCAGGAAAAGCTGGCTGATGACACAGGTGGTCAAAAGCCCAATTTGGGATGCCCTCATCCTGGAGYCCAAATTCAGTTTGGCTGGGGCTTCCATGGGAATCAGCCCACACAAGGTAAAGAGCTCCCAGGTGATCATCAAATTGCTTTTTAATTAAAGATTTCTCTATATTTCCCCTTGCCCAAGGAGCTTCCTGCCCCATTTTCTTAATGCAAGAATAGGTGTCACAACGCCCAGGGATTTAACACTGGGACTTCTGTCTGGTTTGTTGGATTTTGGGAGGGTTTTGACCTTACCTGCTGGTTTTGCCAGCAAATCTTGGTGCTGGGTCACTGCTGAGGAGCCACAATAGGCTGGGAACCGGCATCCAAAGTGGCAGCAGCTTCTGATGGGGCAGAAACTCTGGGAGCTGGAACAGAGCATGGGGCAGTGAAACCACCACAGGCACCCTAAGAAACCAAAGCTGGGATGCTGAGATTGGTATTATCCAAGGGATAACTGGGAAACCCACCTCCCACACATTGGGTGGATGCTCATTCACTCTGGAACCCAGTGATGACAGCTCCCTGCTTGCCAGGGCAGTGAGTGAAATGAAACATTGGCAGCCCTGAACCAGTCCACAACCCTTTCTTTCAGCTTTCAAAGTGCAAATCCAGGTTCTTTTCCCCTTTATAAAATGTGGTGCAGAGTCTCCTTTGCCCCTCAAAATCTGRGAGGAAAAAGGAAAACTTGTGGGTGGCACGGTGGGATCAGACCAGTGTAGAGGGACCTTCCCTCCCTTCCTCCCCTCCTCATCCCCAAATAATGTGGGATCTGTAAATAAAGAAGCTTTCAGGGCAGGTTTAAACCTGCCCTCTCAACATGAACACCGAACAACTAAATACAGTCCTCACCTCTGTCAATGAGGACAAAAATAGAAATTATGAAAGACAGAGGCTGGCATGGATAGAAACCTTCCTCATTTGCACTAATTCCCTTATTGCCATCTCCCCAAAACCATCCTTGCACCAGGAGCAAACCAYATAGCCCACATTTGCAGCAGAAAAGCTGAAAAACAGACAAATTCATGCATTTTTTATTATTTTGGCTGCAAAAATCTATGAGGCTGTCGAGGCCGCGGCAGTGAGAGAGTGAGGCTGGTGCTGTCTGCCTGTGAAGCTGCTATTTTAAGGCTSTATTTGCTTCACTCAAACCGTAGAAAATCTGGGAAGCTGCTGGGAAATGGCTTCCTGCTCCCTGCAACACCCCACTCTGGTTTTCTTCCCTAATGGACTAAAAGTGGGGGCAAATGGTGTTATTTTATCCCTCTCTCCTCTCCATTTTCAATGCCAAGGCAAACAGAGCATCCCCAAGCCCGGGGGTCTCCCTGCTTTATGTCCAGATGGTTAAAAAAAAAAAAAAAAAAAAAAAAAAAAAAAGTGGAAATCAGGATTTGAGCCAACGGCGCTGAATCCTGAGCAGCCTCAGACACCACTGCAGGGCTGGAATCTCACAGTGCTCCCCAAAAATCACCCCCGGGCTGCACCACGGGAAAATGACATTCCATTTCTCCTGGAGGGAAGCTGTCCTGGGGCCGTGGCCAGAGATAAAAGCAACAGGTTAAAAGCCAGCTCAGCCCAAAAGGAGAGGAGCAGCAAGGGGGTTTGACTGGCTTGGAAATGACAGGAGCAAATGGGAGGTTTGGAGGAAAAAAACGCCAGCAAATCTGCACGATCTGCAAATCCTGGTGCACACACTTGTGCAATGTACCGATTTGGGTGGAAAAACGACAAATCTGTCACTGATTTGTCGTTGCAGTGTCAGAAGCCATCATCTGACCCTCCCAAAATCATCCCCCCCCTTCAATGGGAAATCAGGGAATTTCCCCTGCCGCCGGTGGGCTTTTGCGCGGGGGGTTTGGCTGCTGCATGGGGGCTCGATTTCTCCCCTTATCTCTGCCGGAGCACGGAGCGAGCGCGCACGGAGCCGGCGGGGGCCGCTCACCGGCGGCTCCCCGCGTGCTCGGGGAGGTGGAGCAGCCCACGGAGAGCCGCGTCCCCGCAGCCGCCGCCGCCGCTCCCGCAGCATCAGGCGCAGGCGGCACCCGGAACGCGGCGGCTCTCGGGCTCCGCATCCTCCCGTGGGCAGACGAGCTCGGACACGGCGGCCGCGTCCCCCCTGCCGGGGTAGGGGCTTCACCCCCTGCGCGGGGGGATTGCGGGGACACCCCCCGAACCGGCTCCGGGGCTTGGGGCGGGGGGTGCCGCTGCTGGGCGAGCGAGGCTGGGATTAGCGGAGCGGAGCCGAGATGCTGCCCTGGCGCCGGAGCAAGTTCGTGCTGGTGGAAAATGAACGTAAGTGCAAAGGCAAGAGCCTGGGGCCGGGGCTGAGCTACGCGGCGCTGCTGGCCGGCTTCCTCCGCTCCTGCCCGGACCTGCTGCCCGAGTGCCCGCTGGAGCGCCTGGGCAGCGTGTTCCGCGGGAAGCGCCAGAAAGTGGAGCTCAACAAGGAGGACCCGACGTACACGGTGCGGTACCTGGGCAACGCCGTCACCCTGCACGCCAAGGGCGACGGCTGCACCGAGGAGGCGGTGGGCAAGATCTGGGCCAAGAGCGAGGCGGGCGCCGGCGGGGCCAAGATGAAGCTGACGCTGGGTCCCCACGGCATCCGCATGACGCCCTGCGAGAAGGGAGCCCGCCGGCCGGGCCACGCGTACCTGCTGCACCGCATCACCTACTGCGCCGCCGACCGCCGGCACCCCAAGGTGTTCGCCTGGGTGTACCGGCACCAGGTGAAGAACAAGGCGGTGGTGCTGCGCTGCCACGCCGTGCTGGTGTCCAAAGCCGACAAGGCGCGGGCCATGGCCCTGCTCCTCTATCAGACCTCGGCCTCCGCCTTCAACGAGTTCAAGCGCCTCAAGAGACAGAGCGATTTCCGCCACGTCCAGCAGCAGCTCCTGGGCGATGCCATCGTGCCCTTGGTGCCGCTGCGCAGGCTGCTCAACGCCAAGTGTCCCTACCGCCCGCCGGCCGAGCGCGCCCGCTGCGCCCCGAGGCTCAGCTCCATCCTGGAGGAGGAGGAGGACGAGGCTTTCGGCAGCGGGGCAACCTTGGGGGATGCCGGGCGAGCGGCAGTGCTGCGGCTGGCCAGCGACATGAGGGGCTGCAGCCTGCGCGGGCCCCGGGCCACCATCTGCTGAGAGCCCGTGGTCACCATGTGGTAGCCATGAGGTGCCCGCCGTGCACCCCSGGCCGCTGTTGGACCCTCCTCGGGRATCAATCTGGACAAGACAGCGGCTCCTTTTGCAGGAAGACCCATGGTGAGGGTGGGTTTGCACCCCAGGGACCCCCRCTCCCCTCGGCCCCGCACATGAACCTGCTCTCCGTGCCTCCTCCGCAGTGGCCATAATAATAAAATTAATGTGTGTTTTCTGCGGTGTGACGGCGCCTGTGTCTCGGCCGGACCCTGGCAGAGGACAGAGGAAGAGTTAAGCACGGCACYGAGGCAGTTTGAGGGGTTCATAATGAATTTACCCCTTGGAAGGGAAGCCGAGGAGGGGGGCTGCAGGGTCCATGGTGCTTTCCTGTGGCACCGAGGGCTGGGGAGAGCKGCTCCGTGTAGTCATGGCAACTTGATTTTTTAAATATAGAGCTGKGGGGGTGGCTGTGCCACCCACATCRGGGGAGCTGTGATGGGGATTCGGCCCCTTGGACCCCGACTGGAGAGCTGAACTTGCCTGCACCCCCCCAACCCCAAAATTAGCACCAGGGGCCTGAAGATCAATAATTTACGAAAAATTGTTTGGTTTTTTTTTTTCTTCCCGTTTTGCTGTTTTCCCAGAATAAGCAATGGTAAGGAGATGGTGGGGTGGGTGGGGGCAGGGTGCTGTGTCCCCCCCCCCAGCAAAGGGCTGGCAGGGACTGCCACCCTCCAAGGCCCTGTGTGGGGTGGGGACAAGGACCTGCAGAATGGGGCTGGGGGCTGTCCTGAGGCAGCGGGGGCGGGGGGCACATGGTGCTGCTGCCCCACAGCCCAATGAGGGGTTGTAACCCACTCCCCAAAGCGCTATAAGGCTGGGATTTGGGGAGATTTTGGAGCAGGCTTCGGTCTGACCACTGCCCCCCCAAAATTAGCAGGGGGCGAGATTTGGGTTGCCCCCACACCCCCAAGGTGGGGGGGAGGGAACAGGGGATGCTCCCCCTGCACCTTTAGGATTTGGGGCCAGCTGCCAAGATCCTTAGATCCTYAGATTTGGGCTAATCGCCCCTCAGATACTGGTGAGGCTGGAGTTTGATGTCCTCCCCATCACCTCAGGGTGGAGGTGCGGGTAAAGGGTGGGGGGGCTGCGATCTGTCTGCCCCCCCCCCCACTCCCAAGGATTGAGTTTATCCCCGTAGAGCCCCGTATGGCCGGGATCTGATCCTACTCCCCTCCGCAGCCCCTGTGGGGATGGGTATCCTGTGCTCCCCCGCACCCCAACAAAGCTTTGGGGGGTCCCCGCGCCCCCGCCCGGCCTTGGCGGACCCGCGTCTCTATGGCAGCGCTGCAGCTACCAGAGCGCCGCTCGTGACGTCATCACCGCGCGCCAACGCAGCGGGCGGTTGCCGTGGTAACGGCGGGCCCGGCCGCCATGGAGGGCGGCGGGCGGCCATCGGCCGTACAGGCCGCGCTCTTGGCCGCCAGCAGCGCCATCACCGCCCTGCTCTACTCCGTCTACCGGCAGAAGTCCCGCGTGGCCCGCGGGCTCGAGGTGGGTGCCAGGGGTGCGACGGRGGAGTGCACGGGCCCGGCCCCAGGSCCGCGGCCTGGTCGCGTCGGCTGAGCCGCGGCCTCTGTTTGCTCCCCGCAGGGTGCCAGGAAGGTCCGGCTGGACGGGGATCTACAATCCTTGTTGCTGGAGGCGCCCGGACGCTGCGTGCCCTATGCAGTCATAGAAGGTAGGGTCAGGACACTAAGCGATGCCCCAAACGGGTGGTCGGGAGCACATCTCCCCCCACAGCTGCTCCTCACCTGGGGGCTTCTTCCCCACCTTCTCATTCTGTGCCTATCAACTCATATCCCGCCCGCCAAGCAGCCACAGACTCCTGACAGCAGAAAACTCGGGCTCTCAGCCCTTGCACCCCCCCATCTTAGAATTCTGGAGTGATTTTGCTTGAAAGAGAATCTTGAAGTTCATTCCGTTCCAGTCCCTGCCATGGGACACCTTCCACTATCCCAGGTTGCTCCAAGCCCTGTCCAGCCTGACCTTGGACACTTTCAGGGATGGGGCAGCTACAGCTCTTCTGAGAAACATGTGGCTCACCASCCTCACAGGGAAGGATTTCCTCCCAATATCCCRTCGAAACCTCTCARTACRAAGCCATTCCCCATGRTCYTGTCACTCCAGGCTCTCGTGCAYGGTTTGTTTAATGAGCACCTCAGCTGCCCCTTGCATTTCTGTTTCAGGTGTGGTGCGATCGGTGAAGGAGACCCTGAGCAGTCAGTTTGTGGAGAACTGCAAGGGGGTGGTTCAGAGACTGACCCTGCAGGARCACAAGATGGTGTGGAACAGAACCACCCACCTCTGGTACGTGCCTGGTGCCTGCAAACACCCGGGGTGCCCTCGGTGGGTCTGACACCCTGAAATGGCCTCAGGCATGGTTGGAGTGGCCAAGTGCCTCAGAACTGCATCCCAAAGTGACCCCGGCAGTGACAGTTGCCAAAATGGGATGTGTTGGCTGATTTAGGGCTTTTGGAGTTCACAGAGGGGCTGGAGAAGAGCACATCAAGTAAGCCAACACGGGCAGGGTGCTGATCGGCCCCACCTTGTTACAGAGGTGGCCAGAGGATGTCATTTCCAAAAGAAAACCACTTTCAGAATAGGAATTAATTGGATTTGGGTGATCCCCACACCTGACGAGGGTCCCAGGGCTGCTAAAACAGACCCTCTTTGATAAACATTTGATAACACTTATCAAACTGGGACATGTGGCTTCTCGTCACAGGGTGGTTTGTTACTGCTGGGATTGCCACAGGTGGGTGAGGGGGAGTTCAGTGGGGATGGGGGAAACCCCCACTCCTTGTGGAGCACTGAGGTGAGGGTGGAGTGGCCTCGTGCACACACCTGGACAGTGCCATGAGGGGAAAAGTATTGTTCTCCAGAGATTCCCATCAAAGAAACTCCACTCAGGGCATGTCCCATTGGGCAGTCCCCACAGCAGCAGGGTCACCCCAGGCTGTGTTTGCCATCAGGGAAAGCCAGTTCACTTCCCCACTTCTCACTGCTCAGGAACGACTACGAGAAGATCATCCACCAGAGAACCAACACCACCCCYTTCGACCTGGTCCCTGCCGAGGACAGCGCCAGCGTCACCGTCCGTGTGATGAAGCCTCTGGACGCTGCTGAGCTCAGCCTGGAGACGGTGTATGAGAAATTCCACCCTTCTGTGCAGTCCTTCACAGATGTCATCGGTCACTACATCAGCGGGGAGCGTCCCAAGGGCATCCAGGAGACAGAGCAGATGCTGAAGGTGGGCACGGCCCTGACAGGGGTGGGGGAACTTGTCCTGGACAACGCTACCATCAAGCTGCAGCCCCCCAAGCAGGGAATGCCCTACTACCTGAGCACCCTGGATTTTGAGTCCTTGCTGCAGAAACAAGAGTCCAGCGTCMGGTTTTGGAAAATCCTGACCGTGGTTTTCGGCTTTGCCACCTGTGCTGTCCTGTTCTTCCTGCTGCGGAAGCAGTACCGGCACCACCGGGAGAGGCAGCACCTCAGGCAGATGCAGGAGGAATTCCGGCAGGCCCAGGAGCGCCTGATGAACACGGAGGGTGGGGAGACCCTCAAAAACGCCTGCGTGGTCTGCTTGAGCAGCACCAAATCCTGYGTTTTCCTGGAGTGTGGCCACGTCTGCTCCTGCCACGAGTGCTATCAGGCTCTTCCCGAGCCCAAAAAGTGTCCAATCTGCAGGCAGGGCATCACCAGGGTGGTCCCCTTGTACAACAGTTAATTTTCTGATTCTTGTGAGGGAGATTTTGGATTTAAAGCTGCCAYTGGCAAACGGGTTTTGTCACCTTGCTGCCTGGGTGGTGGATTTTGGGGAAGGGGAGGGAGCTTGAGAAAGCAGGTGCTTCAACAAGGGGGCAGAGCTGAGTCTGAAAAGGTGACTGTGCAGCTGATCAGGGCTCACGCTGTGCTCTGGAGGTTTTTTGGGAGAGAAGACTGCTTGCAAAGGGTAAGGTGCTCAAGGGAGATGCAGCTTTAAGCTCTTCTGTTAAGGTTTGGATTCCCAGCATTTGTGTCATAGTTGCAGAGCCCCTTACCCAGCTGATAAAAACATGGGGAAAATAAAACCAAAATCCATTAAGGATTCTCAGAGGCTGCAGAATTCCTGTGATGSTGTCAGAGGGCTGCAAGGCCCAACAGAGCAGGAGGGGCTGTCGGAGAGCTCGTACTGGGGGGAGTGAACACGGGTAATTCTGTGATTCCCCCCTGAAATGGGTTTGTCACACCAGGACGTGAGGATGGGGATGGGAGAATGCTGTGGCTCATGGCTGTGCTTGGCTTGGGCTGGGGTAGAAAACTGGGGTCAAGTAATAAAATAGGATGAAAAGCGTGTCTGTGTCGGATTACTCCATGGGGGTGATGAGGTTTGTGCWCCCTGAGGTGAGCCTGGATCACCCCAAGCTGTGACAGAGGTTGGCTGAGGGGGGATCCTGTCCCCCCTCGCACTGGACGTGACAGTCAGCACTGTCGCCTTGTGACACAGGTGGTACCAAATCTCCAAACTGACAAAGGGAAAACCCCCTTCCCTGACACTCCCATTTTGCCATAAATCCCTTATGCACCCGAGAGGGTTAATGGACCCACAGTGCTGCTGCAATTAACATTTGCAGGGGAGGGCAATTAGAGAAACATTCCTGGGGGACCAGGGCRCCTCAAGTAGGAACAGTTGAAAACCAGGGACTGAGGCATCCCCTGGGCACTGGGGAGAGGCCCCTGCTCCATCGATGCCTGTGGGCAGGCAGAGCTGTTCACATCCCCCAGGCATGTTTAAAAAGAAACATTCCTATCAACTGGCATTTAAAAAAAMCTGAATTTAGCAGAGAAAATGGGTTCTTTCCTCATTAAATATTAACCTGAACAGCCGGGCAGTGTCCGAAGGCCATTCTAGCTGCGTGGCACAAATCCACAGCTGGATTTGGAGGAGGAGGAGCAGGTCCCTGGTTGTCCCAGTGCTGGGAAAGGGTCACATCCTGCCAGCTGTAGATGGCGGTGGCTGCCTGCCAGGGGAGGCAGCCTGCGAAACAGAATCCCAGAGGGAAGAGCTGGAACACGGCTCAAAAAGCACACTACAGCTGGAAAACCCAGAATACAGATTGAAACAACAGAATCCCAGCTGCTGGAAGAGGTGTCCCTCCTCCCGGGGGGACCAACCCCCACAAAMAGCTTTGTCCTGTCACTGGGGACAGCGGGGAGGTCAATCCCCCTCAGATCAGTGCAGGACACAGCCTCGARCCTCGGCGTTTTGCCCGGGAATGGAGCATCAGGCAAAGCCTAAAAATACGCCTTGGAGGGGCTGTGCTTCCCCATTACCCTTCGCCTCCTGTTTCCAAGCTTTCCGTGTGATATCTCGGGCGTAGCCGCAACCTTATGTAAGGAGCTGACAGCTCGGGGGCGGGCGGGGGTGAGGGGAGAGGGGCTTGTGCAGCTCTGGGAGCTGAGGATTTCAGTGAACRAGGGGTTTGGGGATGGGAGCAGCCTCGGGACAGCACACCCCAACCCTGGCACCAACAGGCACCCTGTCCTTCGTGTGCCCCAAATCCTGCCTGGCCCCAAAATGAGCCAGGCTCCTGATTCCAGAGAAATCCTGGAACTTAGCTTTGCACAAACAGGTTTTTAGCCTTGCACAAACAGGTTTTTTGCTGCTTGTTGCTCCTGAAACCCCGCTCCGCTTTCCAGGAGATGCACCATGGATGCACCCAACATAGCTGTGGTCTGTCCCAAAATGTTATCCCAACCTTCYTATCACCCACTTTACCAGCAATAACCCCAGTGACCCACCATGCTGTGGCAACGCTKCATGGAAAACCCCATGGAAAGCTCACAGTGAGCTGCAAGTCCTCCTGCAGTCCCCCAGGAAAGGCTGGTGCAGGGATGGGTCCTGGGGCCCCACAGCCAAGCTCACCCAGACTGTCTCCCCACAGTGCAGTGCCCCACAGAGTGTCAGAGGCTTTGAGATGGCTCATTTCTGCTGGGCTGTGCAGGGCATGTGTAGGGCTGTGCCCACTGTTCCTGGGARCAGACCCTGGGCTCCCCAGGGCTGTGGTGGGGATAGTTCCAGCTTTCCAGGAATGGCAACTCTGACCTCCCTGACGTGTCTGTGGGTAGCCTAGGCTCCCCAGATGCAGCTATGGGGCAGCTCTGGGCTCCCCAAAAATGCTGTGGGGCTGCCTAAGCTCACTGAGGGCTCTTGTAGGGCAGCTCTGGGCTCCCCAGGGATGCTGAGGGGTAGGCTGGGGCATCCTGAGGATGAAACGGGGCAGCTCCGTGCTCCACGGAGGGGTCTGTTAGGCAGCTCTGGGATCTCCGGGGATGCCGTGGGACACCCGGAGGATGCTCCGGGACAGCTCCGTGCTCCGCGGGGAGCCTGCGGGGCAGGTCCGGGCTCCTTGAGGATGCTCCGCGCTCCCCGCGGRCGCTGCGGGGCAGGCGGCGGGGCAGTCCCGGGGATCCCCGGGGTGCGGGATCAGCCCGCCGGGGCGGTGCCGCCGCCGGTGCCGGGGGCCGAGCCGGTCCCGCCCCGCCCCGCCCGGTCCCGCCTCCCGCTCC